GTTAGTGATATATACGTGATAAATTTGAGACTGATTGGTGTAACTTTCGCTTTGTTCTGCACAGAACGTGACAATAGAACCAATAAATGTTAATCCTTGTGATTGGTGAAAAAATCATCGATCACAATACTCTATATTATCGAAAATTGCAAAGGATTATACTGTATATGTATACGTTCCAAGTGAACAAGCTTTTTCTAAATCTGGAGAGTTAATAAGTAAACATAGAAATATATTAGGTGCTTGAGCTATTGAAGCATGTATGTGTTTAAATTCTTGGTTAAAATTGGAAAATGATTAATTTTTTAATATTATAAAATTAATAATTAATATAATTAATACTTAACATAATTAATAATTAAAAATAAATTTTCTTATTAAATAAAATAATTAATAAATAATAAATTTCATTAAAAAATTATATATTTTGTTAACTTTTAATTAATTTTATTGAAATATGTTATAATTTATATTTTATTATTCAATAATGTATATTTTTGAAATATCTTATTACAAAATTTTTATATATTTTTTTAACTATGCAATTTATAAAAAATGCAACGATTTTCTACTAAGGTATTTCTATGGTTACTCTAAATGTCAAATCGTGTGTTCCGAGAGATTTTAAATAATATAATACAAAATAATCGATCGTTACTACATATAAAACTTTCTATATTATAAGTGAATGTCAAAAACGTTATGAAGTAACCTCAAAGACAAAAATTAAGTACATTTTATATTAAAAGGACAGACTTACATCATTAAAATTGAGCGAATAATTGTTATTTTAAAATTTTTTATCCGTTCGAAATTTAACTGCTAATTTTTATCTCAATTTTGATGATGTATATTTTTATCAGAATTGAGATTACTTAGTACTGTCTTTAGTATTAACTTATAAAATAAAAAATTTTATATGTAGCAACTATTGATAATTATTTTCGATTTTATATATAATTGCATTATTCATCAATTTGAAGCTGATGGGGTTGATGGGGCCGATGGGTCAACTTGAGACTTATCAACGCCATCGACCCATCAACCCCTATTCGACCCCATCGACTTAGATGGCTTGGCCCGGTTCGGTTTGACTTGTACCTTCAAGTCGATTAGGCTCGGTTCAGTTCAGCTTTACTTGCCAGCGGTTTGGCTTGACTTTGGTCTCAAGTCAGACCGAACCGAACCGTTAACGACACTACATCAGAATGCCGACTATATATCACCTGCTAAACCATAATCATTAATCAAGCCGATTAATTCAAAGAAAAAAAACTTTATGTATAGAAAGGAATTAAAATTAGTTATTTATTTATTTATAAACGATTTTGTTCATTAATTAATCATTAATTGAATTCATTTTTTTTATATAAATTCGAGATTTGGTACGATTTCGCAATTTAGAAAACTATCACACCACATTGTAATTTATTTTATTCATAACAATTTCGTTCAGAAATTAAATTATTAATAGAATTCCTTTTTTTACGATTACGTAATTTTAAATAAATTCGACGAGTTGATTTAGAAAACCCTAAATTTTCTAACCTATCATTCTCATCATGCTTCCGATCATTCAGAAAAAAAGAACTAAAATTAGTAATATTTTTATACTTAATATAGAAAAAGAACTAAAATTAGTAATATTTTATCATATACAATTTCGCTCATTAACTTTTTAGATAAATTCGATAAATTCGACGAGCCTTTCGATTTTCGATTTTGAGGTAATAGAAACGTATAAAATAATCTTTATTTGTCTCAACTTCTCTTACAATCTCATAGTTCATAAAATTTATTTACGGTCGTGGGTATAAACTTTTTTTTTTCTTCATTGGATTAGAATTATTCTTCAATATCAGTATTTGTGAATGGTACATTCTATTATTATCTAGAATTCTATCAATCATATGTTCTTTACTTCTATAATTCTTTTCATATTAACCCTGAATTTCTTAAACACGGGATCTGCATTCAAAGTTCCGATACATTTTAATAGTCTTCTCATTGAACAGGATATATGGGATATAATCGTCCAATAATGTATAGAATGGTTCCAAATTGGGTAGCTCAAACACAGATGATGTGCGTTGATCGCGAGTAATTTGAAAGCTTTTACGAAGCAAATGCAGCATACAGAACGTTGGTAGGTTCCGGAAAGGGCTAATATATGGCAAGAAATGTTGGTAACAGCCCTCACTAGAGCGGAGGTCGAAGCAGCTATTGCGAAAAATTTACCTGGTGTGAGTGTGAATGCAGTGAGAACGGGAATCTTCAAAGCATCATATGCAGTTCTAAGATCAGTTAATTATATCACTTGTTGTAATGCTTGGAATATGTAATCACTGATTCGATTACAATTCGTTGTCGTTATATTTAATTCGTATTTAGACAAATAAGTGAGTCATCAATGTTACGTTTTGCCATAAAGTAGAGAACAAATATTCTCGTAGATTATAGTTAAATAGAAATTTTTTGTCTAGTGGTCAGAGCGAAACAGCCAGAATCCAAGCGACAAGAATAATAGCTGTCAAAGGTAATTTAAAACTTTATAATATCATAGATCACGTGTCTTTTGAGACTATCGATTTTTTTGCTCAATATTTTAGGCATAGAAGCAGTAGTATCACATTCGGGTTGTTATTAGGACTTATACTTTTGTAATAAATATTCTCACACAAATTTAATCTACCACAAATATCTGTCTGATCGAAAGTTTTGCAAACAAAAATTTTTATAACTTTTTGTCCGGAGCGTAGCGGAGGACATTATTCTTCTACTCAGTGAAAATTTGATCATTCATGTGATTCTTTTAACGACGCGTGTCGCATATTAATTATCATCATAACAATAAACCAATCATTAACAACAAAAATCAAAAATGGAAAATTTTATTTTTATTTTTGAATTTTCCGGTTCAATCTATATTTAATTAATGATTTTCAAATATTCTTGCTTAGAATAATTAAACAGAAAATGTTGCACGGATGTATGTGCGAAATTCACCCGATAATATGCTTGATTTACATCACATGCACGCACTATAAATTATATTTGGTAAAATTAAAAATAAAAGCAATATACAAAATCGGGATTCAATGCATTTTTACACCGAGCCAAGTCCTAATCATTTGATGAGATTAGATTAAAATTGCCAAAAAAAAGTACATAATGAGTGGTTGTTTTACGCCAAACATGATTTTGGAGAGTCTCCTAATTGTTTATTTAGAAATTATTGTTGCAAAATTAAATAACAAAATAAGAATAAATCGAATTCGAATTATTCCATTTTTTTTAAAAAAAATGACTATATTAAAGATTAATGACTTTTTACTGTCCCCAAAAATTCATCAATTCGTTCTTAAAAATTATCTTACTAAACAAATCTATAATATTCAATATTTTTGAAATTTTTTACATTTAAAAAATGAATCAAAAAATCGCATTTACTACTATCTTGGTTGCGTTTTCCGTACTCTTTATTTGCTTTACGAATGCTTCTCCAATTGGATTGTCACCTCGTTCACCCGGTAGCGTCGCATACGTTGATTTCACGAAACCCATCCTTGGTAGAGTCACTTTTACTGAACTTCGGGGCCAAATCGTCAGAGTAACCGGACAATTTAATACAGGATTCCCTGATAGCACTAGCAAATATGAATATCAAATTACTGGCGATGATAAGGAAGTAATTGATAGCGACATCATTTATCCACCTGGAACTGCACCATTTCAATTTGATTTCAAAAATATAACCATCCAATTTTTTGTCGGGAAAAATCTTACAATCTTCCGTAACAGTAAAGTTCTTGAAACGGAACCTATCAAACTAGTTGGATAAAAGAATATTATAGCAAAAATAATTATATTTGATGCAATTCTTTATTTTTTCCTTGATGTTAATCACGTAACGAGAGAGAATGTGTAATGTAAATTATAGTATATACAATTTTTGATTTTTTTCAAGTCTTCTACCCCCATTAAATTAATATCATTATTATTTTAACTTTTGTAACAATAAATAGTGATTTAACGATTTATTATATAAATAAAGTCCAAAGAAATTTTTCTTTACATACTTAATCGATACATGAATTCAGAAGTAATAATTTTTTTTTTTACAGAAGCAAAAAAAAATTTATTTAACTTACACATATAGCACGAAACATTTTTTTAAAAAATGAATTATTGATATGGGAGTTAAGTATAAATGAAAGAAGAAAAAAATATGTTACGGATAATTCAAATTGTTTCCCATTGATCTATGTCGATCATTTTCGCCTGAACTAGCAGCATTTACATTAATTTGGGCGATATTTTCACAATGGTAAACCGTTTGCTTTATCATATGGTATTGTTACGAGATAATCAAGCGTTATTTTCAAAGACAGCCAAGAAATCAAGAAAAGAAAATTGATGTAAATTTTAATTATTACATTTTAATAAGACTTGAAGCATTGACGAGAATATATATAAAATAGCAACTAAAAATTAGGTGATAATGTAAATTAATTAAATCAAAAAATGTCATCCAAACCTACTTTACTAAATTGTTGAAAATCTCAACAGATAAATCTTTATCATAAGTTATATTAGAAATGTCTATTTCCAGTTGAAATTGCCCACATAATAATTCCAACACTATAAATATGAGAAGAATGTGAATATTTATTCAATACTTCAAAATGTTATATTTGCTAATCTGCATAATCCTAAATCTCCTAATCTTATAAATTTTGCTTCGGTTATTCATATTGGCCAGTACTGACTGATAATCCATTATACAAAAGCCATTTGACTTTGCTCTTAGTTAAATTTAATAGAATTTATAGATAACAAATTTTGACTATTAAATAAAAAATTGTTCTTTATGTGTAAAGTAAGCAAATTATGAGAGAAATAATTAAACCAGCATTATTAAATATTTTTACTTAGTAAATATCTTAATTAAATATTGAGTTTTTTAGATTATTAAATTTTTTTGAAAAATGATTAAAATTATGAGGACATCATATGATCGATCTTTGATATCGTGTGTACTTGCGCCTATGTGTAAGGATCTAAATCCTTTTCTATAAATAACTTTAATCCATCAATAAATTCATTACTTTTATTCTTATTCTGTTAACTCAATAATTAATAGCTTAATTTGGATTTCTTTTATTATAGAAGAAACAGCATCAGAATAATTAGATGAAGCAATCAAGTGGAATAAGTTTTTTTCCTTTACAATTTTTCAATATATAATTTTTTATTTACTATAATGTAAAGATGCAGATAGTAACTTTATTTCTATTTACTGAGCATTAAAAAAAGGTTCCATTATGCTAGAAGTTATAATAGAAGTATTGATAGTTTTATTCAATTGAATCCTTTGAATCCCAACCAATAAAAATTTTTAATAAATTTACAAAAATTTACTAATGTTCTTTTAATGAATTCTGCTTAGTTTGAGTTAAACAACTTGGATGTAAAATAAAAATTTTCAAGTAATTTGATTATTATTTACTAATTAAAATGATTCTTTCACAGACATGAAAAGATCATGCAGCCATGAATATTTCATCTTTCCAGCAATAAGAAATCATTTTTATCATCATTTGGGAAATTATTGCTTCAAAGATGCATTAAGTAATACTAGAAGAAAAAGATTTGGATGATAATTTAAATAATAATGATATAAAAAAAAGATTAAAGTGTATTAATAGTAAATAGAATAATTAATTGATATATCAAATTAATTATATATTAATTATGCACTAATTATACAACAAGCAGAAGCAGTTTTACTTTTTGCTTCAATTTTAAAAGTAAAAATTTATTTTATAGTTTCTTTGAGTTTAATCTGCTTATAGAAACTCATGCTATGGATGGAAGTCTGCACAATAAACACTGGTCAAAAATTGATAAAACATACACATATCGGATACCCGATATGTGTATGTTTTATTAATTTTCGACCAGTGAAAAACTGTAACAACTATACATGTTCTTAAAATGATTTTGAATTTTTAAGATGTTTCTTCTTTTTGAGATTTACTCAGAATATATTCTAAATATAGAAGCAAAAAGACCTAATTAGTTTATTTTTGATCAATAATTTCAGATTTTATGTAGCATAATTTTGATTTCTATGACAACTATTTCACTTTTTTTCCAAATTAATTTAGGTTGCATAATTGATTTCAGGTACAAGTATAACCATTGATTATAATTGTATCTTGTGCTATGAAATTGATATCAATGTTGTCCAAAAGATGCCAGTAGTAGTATTTGTACTATAAACTAATGACCACTCCCTGTAATAAAGCTTTTCATTCTGTCATATGCAATCAGATGTCAACAAGTAAACAATAAAACTATTGTAGAGATTTTTGCTATTTAAAGATATATCAATTCTTATGGCAACTTTTTGTTATAAAATAACAACATTTCCAGAACTAAAAACCATGAGATTTCAATTCATAATCCTATATAAAAAATAAATCAAGCCTTTTTTCTGTTTGTTGATCAAAATCAAGGTCCTTATTGCACCACAGCTCTTCTTTCTATATTTATTTCAAAATGATTTTACTATCTTTCTGTATCTATTGAGAAGTGAAGCTATCTTGCTTACTACTGAAATGGTATTGAATGATTTGATGTGATGACTTGTGGTAATTGGTGTACATCAGCACAGTGAAGTCCCTTTGTATTTTTGATGCCACATTCTTTTCCTTGAAACAACTATGACATTACCAATGGAAACACTTAAAATAATAAATTATTCTTTGAAATAATCATATATTGAATAAAACTGCATTAATTCTATGATTTAAAATTCTAAGGAGTCAAGATTAAATTGTTTTTCATTTGTGAACATGTATGTATTTTTTGATTTCAATAATAATATCTGATTCATTTAATTAGATTTAATTAAGTAATTTTAATAATTTTAACTAGTTTTAGCTTTTCAAAAAATAATCATAATCTAATAATAATAATATGACAAAATAACATGCATAAAAACCAGTGATAATTACAGAATATGTCATATTGAATTATGTCTCTAACATGGGTATTCAGAATTACAACTCTTTATTAACATTTAAAGTTGGCATCAAATATTTTGTAAATAGATCATGTCTACTGATACTACAGTATAATGGTATTTGTTTCTCAAGTTAATAAATGACATCATATTCTATACTATCTATGCTGATACTATAAATCTCTTTTAAATTTTTTTGTAAGATTTATTAATCAAAGACTAATTTACATTGAACATATCTGTTTTTCATTAGGCAAACAAAAGATAGATGAGAATATTCTGATTTCTTTTGATATTTTTGTTAGATCCTTCCCTGATGACCTTTTTGGAAAATTTCTCACAAGCTTCATAGTGTCCATTACTTTTTTATGTATTCATCACCTCCTTTAATATAATAAGGTGGGATATTATTTTCAAAGATATATAAAATGACAAATATTAAATAATATCTTTAGGTCTACATAAATATTTTTAACCATTTGTTGACATTGACAGAGAAATTTAAAGATTAATATGATTAAGTATACTAGATTCATTATATATGAATATCTACATATAATCATATGATTTAATGTTATATATAATCTTATAATTGCTGATAATATATCTAATAGTGTAAGAACTATAAAGTTCTTCTTCTATATTACCCATTCCTTATATATATATATATATAATATAGATATGATTTTGAATTTCTTTAATATTAAAGTGTAATAATATTAATAACTTGCTAAAACAACCAAATTATTCCTTTAAAAACAAAAATAAAAAATAAAAGTATACAATAATCAAGTATAGGTTTACTTCTATGACATTTTTTTGGTAGAGGTCTTATCTTGTAATCTATTAATAACTTTCTGTAAAGTTTTACATTTCACACATGCTAAGACACTTAATTACTACAGGATAGTCTTTCATCTATTATAAACAGTAACATGCTAATTAAATAAAATAACTACTGTACTAAAACAACTTCTAAACTAAAATAACTAAAACATCACTAGAATATTATAAGTGATCAAAATGTAACTACTAAAGATATGTTTTTATAATTCTCTGATTGATATTACTACCTTACTTTCTTTTGTTTTAAATCTAATGTATCTTTTAATAACATGCCAATCTATTTGTGTTGATGAACATGTCCTCCATTTTGATTTTAATGTATTTATTGAACACAATCTTAGAAATAAGGTTCTATAGCATTGAGATTACCCAATTGCTATTATTTTTTTAAAGTGATAATTTTTGATTATTGTGATTTCCCATGATCATCAAGGAAGCAACCAACACAATAAGATTATATTTCATAATGCTTTGTTTTTAATTTATTTATAATTTGAATTAAAATTTTTCCTCTATTTCTATTTGGGATTATGTTCTCCAACTCATTTCTAAAAACAGGATGAGATACTATCTGACAGCAGGATGCAAACTGTATCAGCTTTTAATCAATCTTATTTGATGTATGCTTTTGGTGACAAGATATTCATCTTCATCATTATAGAAAATATTATTATTATTCATATAATTGAATTTTAAATTTTTTTGCTATTAATTATATACTTTCTGTAATGTCCATTCACACATTACTATATCATTTTTTCATCAACTATTTACATATAAATATAAATAACTTTTTTTTTACTTTTTTTGGAGGGTACTACCTCCCATTTTTTAATTTACAGTATATTTATTCCATTCTATTCTTATTTTGTTTGTTGTTCTAAGGATGTGAATTGGCAAGTTGGTTTGTAAAATAATTTAATAAAGCTATAATAAAATGTAATAAAGTGTAATAAGCTAAATAT